CCACATATTTGGTCTTCCCAGCATCCTTTCTCCCCTACCCTGGCAACAGGGCTGGGCACATGACCTGGGCTGGGTTTTTTGGTATCTAGGACTGAGCACGATCTGACAGTCAGCATACTGAACCCTTCCTTGATTGCCACCTTCTGCGACTGGTTCAGAAGAGTCACTGCAGGCAAATGAAGGCTCCCACGAATGGGGGGCTTTAGTCCTACAACGCCAGTCATCCTGTGTGTCTTCTGATCACAGTAGTTTTCTTCTCCACCAATGGTTAAACATTCAGGAATTCTGCGGACCAGCTGTGCAACTCTTGCTATCTTGAAATCAGCCATTGTAGGAATATTTACACCATGAAAATAGGCAAACACTTATCAGGACAAATGGAAAGAATGGTCATGGTCTCCTAGAGCCGAAATCATCCTGTGGCATTTTGGGCCTTTGTTCATTTGAGCTCTCCCTCTGTGCACACCAATTACAGGTTAGAACATGACTATGATACTCCCTGGCGGTTTGTTTATTCCTCAGCTAACGCAGAAGTTTTACAGCTGGGCCTGTCAGCCAAAGGCATGGAGGTTTCCTGGTGGGGGGAGAGCTGAGAGTATCAGCTCCACCACCAGCACCATCACCAACGCTACTCTGTCTCCTGGGACCAGTGACATGGGCCCGTTCAGCCACTCAAGGCCTTTTACTAATTTCACTTTGATGTTGCCCCCAAGAACTTTCTGAAGTGGCTCAGGTCACAAAACAAACACATTTCTCTGTGAGGCTAGTAACGCACAACCCTGGCTCCACGTTAAAAGCCCCTGAGGAGCTGCTAACCCACGTCCACACCCACACCTGCCCCATTTATAGAAAACAAGGCAGAATATCTAGGGATGACGCCCAAGCACTAGTATCTTTTTAAAAACCACCCTGATGATCTTAATGTGTGATGGACTTCAAACCACAGCCCTAGACAGGGATGCTCAATGCCCCTGGGACGCATTTAATATATATTGACGCCTGGGTTCCCAGACCAATTGAAGCCAAAATGTTGACACTCCTCTCCAGGTGATCCAGATGGAGTCAGATTCAAAAAATGCTGCTCTGTACCAAATAAGAATTATTGGGTTGGCCAAAAAGTCTGTACTTTTTTTTCCATAAAAATAAAAGACACGTTTCTTCATTTTCATCAATAACTTCATTGATTTGGATATTTTGAGTATGTCAGCTATCTCCCGCTATCAGCTTCTAGTGCGTAGAGGCCAAGGGTGCTGCGAAACATCTTCCAATGTGCAAGACAGCCCCACAGCAAAGAATTATTTGGCCAAATGTTGATGATACCAAAAAACTTCACAAGCCGCTTTTGACACATTCGATCAGTCACAGCACCTTCTTCATACTCTGCACAAGTCTTTTTTTTGCATTTCAATTTCATTTTTACCTTTCTTGAAATAATAAAGCACAATACGCCACAAATGTTATATATCTTCTTCCATCTTCAATTTTAAAATGGATGAAAAAAATTCACCAATTTTGATAAGTTTTTTTAATGCATGCTGATATGACAGCTGTCACAATGCAATCTAACAAAATTGCTTCAAATGAAGTTAATGACAACTAAGTACTACCAGAGCCATCGTATGGAAAAAAATGTAACGGAGTTTTTGGCCAGCCCAATACCTCTTATCTTGCATCTGTCTCAAATCATGCAACCGTATTATTCAAACAAATTCATATTATTGACTCCTGATCTTGTCATCACCTTACACAACAAAAACTTCTTCCGAGCGCCAAACTAATCCCTTGATCTTTCCTTGCAATTAAAGTCTTAACAAATATAGACATTATCCTCTATGTTTTCTTCTTAATCTGCTCAGACCCCTCAGAGGGTCTTCACTGCAGAGTCTGGCTGGCATCTCAGGTCTGCTCTTCCAAGATCCACAAAGTAGTGAGTTGCTATACTGGGCAAACACATAAAAACCTGCAAGAAACAGTCACACCAGCCCAGAACCCCATGCGGCCGTATCTGTAGCTTACAGAGCACGCAGCAATTCCCCAGCTCCCGGCCGGAAGTGGTATGCGCAGGCCGTATTTACTACTTACTCTCTAGACTAGCGATTCTCAGAGTGAAGTCGCTGGACCACCAACCACCAGTAGCAGCATCTCCAGGCTAGAAAGTTCTTGGGTCACACCCAAACCTACTGAATCCGAGACTCTGGGCATGGGGCCTAGATCTGGGTTTAACAAGCCCTCCAGGTGACGCGAATGTCCACTCAGGTTTGAGGAAGTGCTTTCCGGAGCCATATGGCTGTTACCAGCTAATCACTGCAGAGGCAGAAGGTGGTCTAAATGGCAGGGCAGAGAAAAACCAAGAGGGGAGAGAGTTGTGGTTGTACTTCTCTAGGGCATCAGCAGACCCATTCCAAGTTTTTCAGGGCCTGCCACCTGGGAACTTAGAACAAAGTGTCGGGATAATTCTCCCATCAAGGTTAACGGACAGAGGTTACTTTATTTCTGGGAAATTATTTTGTAAAAGCTATGATGTAAACATTCTTCTTTCTCTGAGACAAAGCATCTGAATGCTTGGGCAGCCCTCAGGAGCGGCCAGTGCGGTACCCGCCATTATTCTCGGAGGCCCCGTTCTTTGCCTTAGTGCCATCTTGTACGTTCAAGATCTTTTGAATGCTCCCTTTCAATTCCCGTTTGCTCCCTGTGCCCCTGGCTGCCCAATTCTGATTTCTGTATAGGGAGGGATATAGTCACCACCCTCTGGAAGCCCAGGAATCACATAATTAACATGAGCAAGGCTCTAAAGTAATCTCATAGTCTCACGTGTCCCACAAGATAGTCTCTTTGCCACCAGTGAAAAAACAGGGCAGATGAACCTGGGGTAGTAGCCACAGGCTCTCTCTCCTTCCCCACTGATGCTCTACATCAGAGATCAAAAAGCCTGCATGCCTGTCCTCGGCCCCTAACAGGTTACTGTTTCACATGGGTGGTTTTGCAGAAAGACCCTCGTCAGAGTCCCTTCAAAATACCTTCTACTCTGAAGACACCAGACACCAAGTCCCACTCCCTGGCTTTCCTCAGCCCAAGCACCCAGCCCCTCTGCCTGCCAAATCTCAGTCCCGTGTACCTTGACTCATCTGGCTCTGCCGAATGCCCCAGATCTTGGTATGGATGGGAAGAGGACCAGGACATGTGAACCCAAAGCCGATCACAACTACCGGTCCTGGTTCCTGGGGGGCACCCCAGGACAGCAAGCTTTCTTCCTCATTGGCTGGTGTCCACTTGTTGGCAGGAAGAACTCCACTCATTCCTTTCAACCTAAGGCTGTGTGAGTTCCTTGGCCCCTTTCCATGGACTCTTATTCTGCTTTCTTTTCTTTCTCTTTTGGCTACAGCCTCATCATGGTGTAATTTACATTCTATAAAATTTACCCATTGTAAGTGCACAATTCAGTGATTTCTAGTAGAGTTGTGCAATCATCACCACAAATCAATGTTAGCACAGTTTTCCTGACCCCATTTGCGGTCACTTGTGGTTCCCTTTTGGCAACTGGGATGCCTGGGTCAACTTCTCCCACAGTCTCCTGGGAGAGCTGATCCCCAAAAGCCTGCAGGGAATTCATTCAAATGAAGAAACTTCTTTGCTGCTCGCACCAAAACCCCACTCACCCCCCCCTCCCCGACTCTGGCTCCCATCACAGCCTTGGCCTTGGTCCACTAGAGCACTCTTCCTGGAGAGTCTTCCTGGGGAGAGATGAGGGAGGGTCGCCGAGACCTCACACACATCTTCACATCTGCTGGACCTTGCATGTGACGTTGACGATGTGTGTTTCCGTGGGCAAAGTGGCTGAGGGAGACGCCTTGAATCAGAGTGCCCGGGTTCAAATTCAAGTGCTGCCATTTACAAGCTACGTGGCATGTCTCCTGACATGTAAAGTGGACATCCAACTAGCACATCCTGCGGAGTTGTAAGAAAGATTACACGCGGAGACCATGAATGTGCCTGTCACATGCTCAGTGCTTTATGTTACACAGTATTACTGATCAAATTTTCCAAGGGACTGTATCACTGCCCCCTAGCCCCCCACGCCCAGTTGAGAACACCCACATAGAGGTTTGGAAGACTCTACCCATGACAGGTGCCACAGGGAAGCCCCCAGATGCTCAGAACAGGAAGATATGGTTGACAAAAGATGTCATAAAATGAGGAGAAATTGAGGTAGCTGGGCCTTGGCCGGTGTGGCTCACTTGGAGTGTCGTCCCATGAACCTAAAGGTCACCAGTTCAATTCCTGGTCAAGGCACATGCCTGGGTTGTGGGTTTGGTCCCCACTTGCAGTGCCTGTGAGAAGCAACCAATCAATGCTTCTCTCCCTCTCTCCCTCCCTCTCCCTCGCTCTCAATAATAAAGAGAGAGAGAGAGACAGAGAGAGAGAGAGCTGTAAAGGAGTCCTAGGAGGGGCAGGGTGGGAATGGGGAGTGGGTAAGAAAAAGCAGGAAACAGGTGGTCAGGAGCACAAGTGCAAGGGGCTAATGTGGAACAAAGCAGATGAGGCCTGAAGGGGAAGGGAGGGCGGGAGGACACGTGGGGAGGGAGCTTCCTGACTAACCTGGTAAGTCTGAAATTCTCTTATTTCTCAGAGGAAAGTCAACTACAGGTGCTGGGAAGCTAATAATAAACATGAGAGCCTAAGGGCCACATGAAAAGCTTGAGCTTTACCGTGTGTCCTATCATCTCTTTGACCTTGACGTCTGCTTGGCCCACCAAGAGGCCCCCGCACCATTTCTGTGGGTCCTGTCAGAGTGTCTGGCTTCTGTCCACAGCAGCTGGCGACCACCTTGCAACAGGGGCTTTGGGAACAGCTCCAAAGAGTGGTCGGTGCTCCACCAGCTGAGTTGCTTTGTTGGTTTCAAATGTGCAAGCAGCAGATTCTGCTGGACAGAAGTACAGGCCAAGGGCACCGGCCGCCACTGGCTGGTCAGTCCTCCGACCTCCCTCCCACTGTCAAACAAGCAGCTATCATTTATAAAAACACAACACACACTGGGTTTTAATGAGAAAATAATTGTATACTTGCATTGAATGCCTCACAATCACTATAAAACCGAAGCAGAATAATGACATTTAAGTGGTTAACATACACAGGAGAGCCAGATACAGAGTATAATATTCAAACACAGTATTGCTGCTTTTGCCCCCCTCCTCCTCCAAAAAAAAAAAAAAGTCATCTGGGTAAAGAGCAACACAAAAATCGAAATTGGCAGCTCACTCACTGAATGCTTAAAATTCAGGAAATTGGTTGTCACTAAAATTGGATATATTCACCATCTCTAAACACTTAGGCTATTTTTTTTCAATACATTAATTACATCCATTTTTAGTTGGAAAAAAACAAAAGTTCAATTATTTGTCTCCAGAGACAAGAGTCAACACTGTTGTAGTGTTCCTTGTTATGCTTTATATATGTGTGTGCATGTGTTGTGCATATATGTGGACACTGATCAATATACTGCTTCTACGTCATTGTCTAGGGCGGGCAGCATGCACAGGTGTGAAGAGGCAAGGAAACTGCATTGTGTCGTCTGAGTAGAACACGGCCTGGCCTCCTGCCACTGACAGACCCTGTTTCCATAACTTCTGGATGAGAGCGCCAAGGCGTGTCAGTAGTTAATCGGCTGCAGAGGAAAGTGAACATCTATCAAACACTGTGGAATGGCATACTTTCAGAAAAGCCTTTAACATCTACAGGATCTAGACATTTGTCATAGCTGAGAGTAACAAGCTTGGGTAGTATTTGGGGGCAGGGATGCCCGTGGGGGGCCAAGTTTCCTACAAGCCTCTTCCTCTCGAAGGGTTAGGCAGGAATGACTTTCCTCCAGGGCTCCGTTACATCCTCAGAAAGTTAAATAGGGGTTCATTTGGGATCCCGGAGCCTAGCACAGTGCTATGTACAAAAGCAGTGGCCCAACGTGTCTTGAATGAGTAAAAAACTCAGGAGCACAGAGAAAATCTGGCTCTACCAAGGGGACTGTAATTTACATGTTAACAGGATTATGAGTGAGTGGAAGGGAGAAATAGACAACAGGTATGCAGAAGGCAGTATAAGAGAACAAGCAAATGATGGAGAGGAAGGGGCCACAGTTAAACAGCTATGGGACTGCCGGGCAGTCGTGGAGACTCTGCATTTGTTGCCTTATCTACACATGGAGTGTGGACCAAGGGCCTCAATGCAGCAAGTGCCTCTGGTTCAATCAGCTGGAATCAAAGACCAATTTGTCTGCCTGTAAAGTGATCATCTCATATGGTCGTGTGGCCTCCCAAGCATCCCTTTTCAGTTGCAAACAGAACAAAAAAACTTCAGGTAAGTCCTGAGGACTGATTCCTCTCATGAAAGATGGGGGGAGTTCATTCAGATCATGTCTAGGGCCTGGACCGGACCCAGAGTCAATGCAGGAAACGGGCAACATGTTTCTTATGCAGCCCTCAGAAGCATCCTGCCCTCCAGCCGTCCTAGCTGCCGCTGGGCCCTGGGCCACGCCAAGCGGCCGCCCCATCTGTTTGCACCCATGTGCCTGCCTTGGGGACACTGGAAATCTCCCGGCAAAGCATCCTTCCTGGTTGTCCCATTCTACCTGCCAGGACTTGTAATCAAACCCAGATCTCCTTTTCCTGAGAATGTCCGTCTCCATGCCAGCCTCCCCCACTGGAGAATGAATTCCCTGCAGCAGGGATAGTATGTATTTCTTTGGTGTTCCCAATGGCTGGCACATGTTGTTGAATATTTATTCGGAATATTCAGGAGCATGAACCATATAAAGATGGCACCAACTGCCCATCGGTAGAATTTGGCTTCAAATTGCAGGTTCTCTTGGCAGTTTTAAAGGATCCTTGTAAATTATCAGACAGTTCCGATTTGACTTTGTGCCTACTACTTGTCTGTGAATAAACTTTCCCCTAAGTCAACACTAGTCTAAAAAAAGAAACAAAGGTAATGTGTGTAACATCTACATACAAGTTTTGTGAAATTGTTACTTGTCAGAATAACATATTAGAGCTTATGCCATAACAAGATAAAGACAAATTAATTTTTGTGAGGTCTGACTTAATTATTGCTTATTTTTTAAAAACCACAGTTTTAAAACAAAAGGAAAAGTAAAAAGAATGCTGGTTGTTTTTTTTTCTCATGGCCAGAGTGGAAAATGTTCTCATCCAGAAATGTAGGGTACCCAATTATCGAATACCCTTATCATATTGCTTTAAATGACAAAAAGAGTAAAGCTGGCATCCTCTATAGTATACTAAGCTTGACTACAAAGCATGAGAATAAATATGGTACTTTCCTAAATGTCCAATTACAAAACTGCTCAAAACTCTGCAATTGTGACTCATGCAAATACCATGTTAGGTCAATTTAATACTACAGATACTGCATCAGTTTGGTGCCTCTATATCCCTTTTCATAAAAAAGAAATTCTCAGTCACTCCTGACGCTGGCTAACAGCTTTGGAGGAAATAACTGTACACTCTTGTCCCATGATCATTCTGGAATTTCAATCCTAGCACACGCACCCTTACTCATAAGCATACACACCTGATACAAACACACAAAGGTGTATGTGTGCGTGTGCCCACGTGTGCGCACGGACACACACACCATCTTTAGGATTTGTAGCTGATCCCAAGCCTGCACTTAAATTTCTATTCTATATTTCTCTGTATCATCCTGAAAAACACTGGTTGCGCAGCAAAAATATTTCTCCTTGATTTCCCCTCACTTTCTCCCTCCCTTCTCTCTCTACCTTCACGGCCTTTCTTTAATGTTTCATTTCTGATTGATCCAAAATAATCTCTCATTCTTCCTACCATCCCTACGGTCCACTTTATAATATAAAATATAAATCCCTTTTTATTTCTTGTCATCTGCCTCTCTAAGGGCAGATTTGCCCTTTTTACAATTATTGCCACTCTAAAAATACCCCTAATTCTCTTGAACCAGGCTGTTCAATGTGCACAAGCTTTCTTTATACATGAATATATTCCCCCATCCCATCATAAAAATAGCTGTCCACTAAATAAGCTTTTGTGTGAAGAACCTAATTGTGAAAATGTATTCTCATAACCTGCAGATCAGTCAATACTATAAGCAGACAAGATCCTAAAGCTAAAACAATCCTTTTGGTTTGGCTTTCTCCCCCTTTCTCAACCTCCTAACGTAGAATAGATTGTGTTTGCAACAGGAAGAAACAATTGTCTTAAAAATATGGATTTTATGTATTGCGATCATTAATTGCTCCCGATTAAAAACAATGAAAGGTAAGAGAAATGGAATCATAATTGCCTCTTCTTGGCAAGTGGAGAGAGAAACGTTATTCATTTTATGGCTGCCGGAGGAGATGGAGTTAACCCAACACCCCTGACGCCAAGCGATGGGTGGGAGACCAGAGCAGAGCATGTCCTGTGCTGCGTAGGTGGCACCAGTTTGGGCTCTCCTGCTCTCTAAATGGCCCCGTCACCATTGTTTCCTCACCACCCCGTGAGGCTGGGTTCAGTTGTAACCTGTAGCAACCATATTGATTTGCTTGTAATCAATCTTCTTTGTCCTGTTGGATCAATTGTGGGTTGGTCCAAATCCAGGTGATTCTTTGTGTCATGAAAAATTCTTTTCTCTGTTGACTCCTGGGTGTTAGAGTTTGATGGGTGGACTTCTTTTTCACTTGATCCTTCATCATTGTATATTGCAGCTTCTGGTCTACGGAAGGATTGTCGAGTTTGTTTGCACTTTAATAAATATTCCATTAAAATGCTTTGATGTGTGTGGTTTGCTTGGTTTCTTGGCGACCCAAGCACCAATGAAGCTTCCTGGGTGGAAGGAAGTTTATTATTCATTGTCCTCTTCCTCCTGGTTGGCATAGATCCCCGCCTCCCAGCGCAAGGCCAGTGCGCTCTTTCTTCGATTAACCCGTGTGGCCTCGAGGACCTGAGGAGAAAGGGAAAAAAATTATGCCGAGTTCATGGGTGTTAATTATGCACACAAACCAACCCCTCCGTTTCTTTCCTCCTTTCCCTCTCTCAACAGCAGCTACAGAGAGGGGAGAGTAATACAGTGTCGGGCACGCTGGGAGATCGGAGGAAATAAAGGGGGTGGGAGGTTTGCGTGTACACTGATTTCACACCCAAAGCTCGTTTGCTATTTGACCTATAGTAATCACTACAGATTTAATCTTCCTGAAATGTTCTGCAAGTTTCTTTAAACTAGATTTGACTGCATGGAGTTTTTAGAAAACAAAGCAGATCCCCTACCTGCTGTAAATCGGTGCTGTCTGATGGAAATGTTCTTTTTCTGTGCCACCCAATATGGTAGCCGCTAGCCACATGTGGCTACCGAGCACTTCAAAGAGGGCTCGAGTGGCTGAAAAACTAAATATTTAATTTTAATTAATTTTCATTAAAATATCTTCATAGAACTAGTTGTGACAGCACAGCTAGTCGCTTTCTAAACAAGCAAACCAGAGAATAATTCCAAACAATTGGACCAGTGTGGACTCAATCCATTAGTCTTTATGGATCTATATAAGCTATAATCTTATGTATATCATAAAGTCTACTTTTGTATAATTAAACTTCAAAGAGGTATTAAGTGGGGCGGGGGGGGGGGAATAGCTTTTCAGGCCAATGAAAAGCAATCTGAGCACTTGGACGCAACTCGAGGGCCATAGGTGCTAGCGAGCGAAATGAGAGTGACAACATCAAGGACAAGTCAGCCCACCCTCGGGGTCGGCCCCTCCCTCCAGCTCGTCGGTACAGTCTGCGGGCTCCTGAGGGGAAGCTTCAGCCCATCTGTTCCAGCTTTGGTTTGATCAAGTTGAGGTCCAAATGAGTAACATATGGGTTGCCAACATATGAGAAATGGCTCAATTTCATGCCATTCCACCATGCAGGAAAACCCATGCATGCCAGCCAGCCAGTTGAATTATGGCCTCCTTAGCTTAGGATGTGAAGTTTCTGGTTTTAAAGAACAGTCCAGCAGAGCCTACTCTGGTTGGCTGTCTAAATAGCAACGAAGGCTCTCCTTATTCTAAGAACAGTCATTTGGGCAAGGGACAGGGATGCTGACAACTCCAGAGAAGCAAGGAGATGCAGGTGACAGGCAGTGTTGGGAGCCCAGGCATAAGCAGATTCTGAGGGTCCATCTCAACCTGCTTTTCGGCCCCTCTGACAAATGAATAGACTGCACAGCAGGGACAGCTGGACCTGACATGTAGGACAGTCATGTTGCTGGAATAAATGCTCACTGTCAGGCACATAAGCCACGTCATACAGAGTTTTGTGTGTAAGCATATGGTGGCCACTTACTCAGCGTCTAAGAATAAGGTGTCGGTAGGAAAAAGCATGCTTTTAAACCTGTTATAGTTATAAATGGAAGATTCTTGTGGTCAGTGGCACTGAGAAGCAGGGCTGGATCAGACTGGGAAGTCCTGAGCTCCACTTCAGGCTCTGGAATATGCTGCTGTTGTTCACGGTATCTTGTGCGTCAACTTCCCTTATCGGTAAAATGGACGGAGCGCCACTGCCCTGCTTCACAGGCTTTCTCGGGAGGCAGTGCACTGGCTCTGAAGTCCAGGCAGGTCTCAGTTTAAATCCTAGTGACTATGTCATCTTGGGAAAGCTTACCCCTGTGCCTCAGTTCTCTTATATGTATAATGGGAAACAAAAAACAGAAAACTGTCGTACAGAGTTGGCCTAAGGAATTAAATGAAGCAACGTATGGGAAGCCTTCAGCAATAGTTCCCAGTGCATAGTTAAGTTCTCAGTGATTCTTTCTAGCATCATGTGAAGGGGCTTTATACACTATGTAGTGGTATTCAAATATAAGGCATTCTTATATGGATCTCTACAAGTGCAAAGTGGGCATCTGTTCACCTTGCACATACAAACTGAAAGGCGTACCTAAAAACAAAAAATATAGCAAAAGTTCTAAAAGCTACAATTAGACATTGAGAAAAGGACATGTAATAATATTCTCAATATTCATTTTATACCTTATGAAAGGAAATTACTGATAACCATCAACTTATATAGATAGTTAACAGTAATTATTTGGCTAAATAGGGAGATTTTAACAATATATTGTGCTAGCCCTGGCTGGTGTGGCTCAGTTGGTTGAGCGTCATTCCACAAAGTGAAAAGTCGCCTGTTTGATTCTGGGTCAGGGCACATGCCCGGCTTGCGGGTTTGGTTCCCAGTCGAGGTGCAGAGAAGGAGGAACTGATCGATGTTTCTTTCCCTCTCTCTAAAAATGAATAAAATCTTTTAAAAAATTGTATTGTGCTATATGTTAGCACACCAATTTGAAGAATAATTTTACAATATGTAGTGAATGTAAGGATATCTAAGCCCTATAACCAGTACTCCTATTTCTAGATATAAATTCTCCCATATGTACACAAATAGATAAGTATAATAATATTCAGCAAAGGATTGTTTGTAATGGCAATACTTTTTTTTTGTCAGAAAAAGAAACAACCTACATTTTCATTACTAGGAGAATAAATAAAAGTGGTATGTTCCTTCAATGGAACACTACACAGCAGTTATAAGGAGTGGCCTAGAGTCCTAAGTATCGATATGGACATATCTAAAAGCAATAGAGACAAAGTAAGGAGTGGAGGCTACTACTATATGATGTCATTTAGAGAAAATTCTAAAACATGCAAAACTGGAACATATCATTTACATATATGTAGGATAAATATAAAAACATGCATGAAACCGATGAACACCAAACTCAGGAATAGTTATTTCTCAGGAGAGAGAAATGGGAGCTGCGAGAAGCAACGGGAGGACCTGAGTTCTAGTTGCAATATTAATTTCTTTTAAAAATATTAAGCAAATATTATGAAATGATAGGAATGGACAAAGCTGCACAGATGGGCTTCATTATTTTGTTATGTCATGGTATTCAGCACACTTGAGCATCTGCTGCATGACATCAGGGACTTTGTTTTGTTGACTCTTCTACTCTCAGAACCTACAAAAGTGCCCGGTGCATTGTAGGTGCTCAATAAGCTGTTAACTGAGCAAATAAATGAGGGATCCTCCCTACAATCCTGTATATTTGAAGCAATTCTTTTAAAATAGAAATGATACAATGCTCTAGAAATAAAAATATGAAAAACATTGTGCTTTCTCAGAGCAAAAAAGAGAAATTATGAAAAAAATGGGGCAAATGAAAAAGTGCTTTTTCAGAGCACAAGTTTGTGCTATCTGTGTAAAAGGAAGTTGGAGGAAAAGGAGACTTTTGGGGAAATTCAATTCTTTAAGAGGCTTCCAAAACAAAAATACAGATTGAATAACTGAGTAAATAGGAAGCTGGGATGGTTCTCTTTTGGACTAACGTATCCTAAAACTACAGCACAGAGCTCTCTGGATTGGTATTAAGGTAGACTAGGTCATTTTGAGCTGCATTGTTTTCTAACCAGACTAGGCAATATTTGCCATCAGCGCCTAAAGAAACTAAAAACATCCATCGGTTGTGCTCTCTAGTGCAAACATCTTCCAGACCCACGAGCAGGTCAAGGTCTTCCGCAATCCCGCCACACGGCACAGCAAAGCACAGCAGGGTGCATCCTTGTTGCGTGCGTGCCAACATTTTGAGGCAGGTAGAAAAAGACATGGAGACAAACGGCTTTCTTGTCCTTCACATTCAACCCACCAGGAAGTGGCAAACCACAACAGCATGCACCTGGGCCAGGCATGCAGGAAGACCAAGACAAACAAGTTGAACAGTACCTCGGAAGTCACCTTGCAAGACAGTAACTTAGAGGTGTACTGGCAGAGAGGGAAAAGACCAGGGTTAGTACATGGCAGAGACACGCTCACAGAATAACCCCCAGCTGGGAACCGGTACCACACCGGGGTAGACAAGAAGGCTGTAACACCAGAAGACCATTAGACACCTATGCCAAGACTTGCTTCATCTGATATTACTTTATTTGAAAGTCTGTATCTTTTGGAGCAGGTAGATACCCCATTATTATTTATTAAAAATATCAGATAAGCCATACTTTGTTAATTCAAGATTTGTTGCTTCCAGTTTTCATGCTTTGAATTAACAAGATCCCCCCATTTCCCAGTGTACAACCAACCAGATGCCCACAGCCAAGCTCCTTGGCGGCCCTTCTGGATTTGCTAGAATCTGTAGCCAAGGAGCCTTTTCTGTAGGCTTCTCTGAACCCCAAAGACTGAAGCAGTCTTGTAGCCTGTTGACCCATGAAAAGGTGACCCTAACTACAGATAAAGTTTGCTTGAATGCAAGGTTAGTGGAGGCCCAAACCTAAGGATGCTTCCAGAAGCCACACAGCCTCTCTTATCACTACCTTGGAGGCCTGGACAAGTACCTGTAGGAACTAAAATGATCCTTTAGTTCCCATGAGACTAAAAGTCACTGCAAGAAAAGCTCAGGAAAATAAAAATATGTCCTGGTTATGGGAAATGAGGTAGAACGACCAATTTTGGAGAGTCCCTTCTAGATTCATGGTAGTGACTTGCATTGATGCTTGCTAAGGACACTGGAGGCATTATGGGTTTATGGCATTGTAACCATTGAGATCACATGCCTGTGACTGCTGCCTGCTCCTTACGTGCAGCACTTGAAAATTACAGCTCTGTAATGACCGGGCTGATGGCTGGGAGTGGATGAATTTGGAGCTCTCCTCTTCTTTGTACCTTCCTGGGGCGTGAGAGAGAACCAGGAGAAGGCTGGGCAGCACACACCATCACTGATCGTGGCTGAGCTCCTGCAGAGCCGGGGGTGGGGGAACCAGAGGCAGAGAGGCTTCTTTCAACCACTCAGTGGGAGTACGGCCACAGCCCCTGAAGGGTGTCCTGGTCTACAGAAAAATGTGTGCCAGGAATTCTTAAACACTTGGTAACTGCTTGCCCCCAGCTCTGACTTAACCCAGCAGAATTGGTGAGGCCTTCTCTCATTTCCAAACAGGAAGAGTTGGCTGAAAGTCCTCTTAGCACCTGTTCTAGGGGCAAGAGAGAGAGAACACAGGAAAGGCCCACCAAGCATAGATCCTACGCTAGAAGTGAGAGTGGGGCGGAATGCCCAGGGGGCTATAATCTGGACTCAACTCAGTGTCCCTCCAATCAATAAAGGGAAAGCAACCCACCAAGGTCAAGAGCATCGCTGGCTCAAGAACCCATCGTCTCTGAGGCTCAGGTCAAGTTGGGGGAAACACTGGCCAGAAAAACACTGGCTTAAATATCCTTCTTTTGCCCAGCACCAAGAAACCCTTCAGGACCCTATGATTCACCAGTCCAGTATGCACTGCGTGATGGGCCAGCGCTGGCCTCAGGCCCAGACAACGGGACATTCCCACAGAAGATTTTCAGATGAGAGGGACCCAGAATGGGAGCAGGGCTGCTGCATGTGGGTGTGCGGGGTGCGCACTGCGTGGGAGCACCAGGACGAGAGAGGGGATTGATGGGGGTTGAAGCTCAGCCCCCAACTCCACTCACCGACTGTGACGGTGTGGCTGGGGCGGCGCTGGGTCCTCACAGAGGAAAAGGTACCTCTTCCTAACTCTTACAAAGGCCCTGTGGAGGCTGCAAAACAGCCCAGGGTAAGGCATGGGGTGGGGAGCAACTTTACTACTCCCAAATAGCCCAGGAGTCCTTAGTAAGTGGGGCCTGGCTGAAGCCTAGAGCACTGGACACTCATTGGTGACCACGCCACACAGAACACAACACAGAAGAGAGCCCAGGTGGGCGTGGCCTGTGCGCTCGGCTCTGAGAGGGAAACAAGGATGGCCATTTGGGGATAACTTTTCGGGAAAAGGGGCTTTCCTGGTTCTTCATCACTGACTTTTTCTGCAAAATTAGCGGAGTACCCACAAGGTGGCTCCATATCACCAATACAGTGACTCCCGGGTCGTGTTCTGAGAGTTCATGGTTTAACTTTCCACCTTTTGTCATTCTGTGAGCCCTCACCTTGTTTCCAGCAAGAGAAAGGGACAGCTCAGGAACCCAAAAAGCCCACAATCTACCCCCGCCCCCCGGGGAAGGGATTCCATGGGCCAGAGGCCTCCCTGCCTGTCCGGCACACGGTTTTTCAGAAAGTGGGGGAGATGTCAGGGCCCTGAGCTGGGGACAGGACCCCCGAGACCACTGCTGCTTTGGGGGGGGGGGGGGCGCCGTGCCTGTTTTGACAGCAAGGCTCAGTTTTTGCCCATCGATTGGCAAGTTACTCATGACAACTGCAGGCACAGCTCCATGTGGCTTCCCCTGCACTGTCCTTCGTGCTCATTAACACCACTGTGTCTGCTGTATCACTATGCATGCACCCCGCTCACCCTATTTTGTTTTGAAGTCTGCCTTCTCCTTAGGAAGCGCAGCAAAGAACTGTTTTTGTTCAGTTCAGAAAGAGCCTACTACTTCCTATGGACAAACACATGGTTGGGTTCTGGTCCTGTGTGAGGGACTTTGTGGAAGGCCTACCGGCAGGTGGACCCACCAATATTGGTGCCAGGGCGACACGAGACCCAGGTGAGCCACAGGAGGTTCTCAGAGGGTGGAGAATCTAAGAAGCCGTAGTTTGCCCAGAGAATAGCTAGCGTGTGTGAATGGAGCCAGAGCAGAACTACAGCTTCTAGGGGCAGGGAAGCCAGTTACACAACGCAAGCACCATGCAGTCTATCTGCTCCTATTTATGATCCTTCTGGTATCAGAGACAATTAAAGGAGGGGCCACGGATCAGCTACAAAAACAAAAGAAGGCTTGCTCATTCCTACAGGTAAACTTCAACACATTTCCCAGTGACTGACGCAGATACAACAGACAAGATCCCCTGAACCAAGAGGAGTAAGAAACGGGGTGATAGGGGCTCTGATTGTGTATTTGCTTTAGGAGCACTGTGAGTAGGCTTCTTCCAGATTTGGGTCTCTTTAAAGGGCTATCGTGGACTGAATAGATTTTGCTTTTTGTTCTATTCCTGAGAATTTTCAACGACAACAAACTTGATTTTCATGCAGTATCAGTAACGGTGCAAAAGACTTGCCTCTGAATCTGAGATCTGGGGATTAGTAATAACTTGATTAGTTAGTAGGTTTCTTCCTTATATGAAATGTTTACTTACTCAAGAAAAATAGAGACAGGAGGCTGCCACTTCATCGTGTACATGAAGAGCAATTAGCATATTAAAACTCTGCTTCGGAGCAGCTGCCCTAATGCAATAGGAAATCCAACCTGGTTGGCGTTCGCCAGAGGTGCATCTGGCAGAGGTGGCTCTGCCGCAGGGTCAGAGTTTGCAGAAAAGAGGCTTCTAGCCTCTGCCTACGAAATGAGTGGAACGGCCTCTTCACTTCTGTGTATAGGCTCTTTCTCTACCATCTGCACTTCAACACAAAAGGCACAGGCACGAGACATGTAGACGGTACTTAGAAAACACCTCGCACGGTGCACATGCAAAGTGGCTCCATTTGCTCTTCCCCCTCCACTCCAGATGCGAGGGGTCCACTCAGCCAACTTCCCCAAAGCTGCTGTTGCATCATGTGGACTCACCGGAGAAAAGAGCGAGCCATTTTTCCAGCAGTGCTTCAAAATGGTCACAGGCTCCAAAAATACCTAAAGGTGAACTCTCCGTAGTTTAAGTGGGGCTGCAAAGAAGGGCCGGCTGGAGTGACCTAGTGGAGAGAGGCTGTCCTACAGGCTCGGGGGCGGGGGGCTCTGGCGGTGGGAAAGTCTGCAAGAGCCCTTGGGGCCAGGCCCATCCCACTGTGCAATGGGAAACCAGCCCAGCAACACTCCAGCCTAACAGAGGAGCTGAGGCCGGATTGCAAGGATGCAGGTAGATTCGGGAGAGTGCCTGGGAGATGCCAAGCGAGCTCTCAGGTTGCTATAGGTATGTTTGCCTTGCCTTTCTTCACAACCAAATATTTTGAAAGTAACATTGAGTCTCAACTGCAGAAATCCTTTAACTTAGTCAACCAAGATATGAAAGGCAATGAGGCAGCCTTTCATATTGTGAGCCCCAATAAACTTGAATAGCATTCAAGTTTAAGGTGTGACCAAGTAATCTGTCATCCAAACTGGGGCACTTTTAAGAGTGAAAGGGGATGATGCTATTAACGACATCAGGACAACAGGCATAAAGCAGGACTGTCCCAGGTAAACAGGGCAGCATACTCCACTAACCTAAGCTATCTGTGACCTAAGTGTAATCGGGGGGAAGAGGCGGTCGCCTCAATAAATGCTAAGAGACTGAGGCCAGCAGACTCCTAGGAGGTTGGTGAGGACCCCTGAGGCTGATCCCTGGCTCCTGCCTGTGCAAACAACGGTCCTTAGGTCTCTTACTGGAGAAAGAAACCACAGAGCAGATGACTTCACTCAAGGTCAATGTGAACATCACGTGCAAAGTGCTCAGGGTAGCCGTGTGGTTTTTAACTGTCATTTTAAATGGCTCTTTCCTGCCAAGCTGTACACAAGGCCTGGAAAGAGCCCCATGCGCATTCAGTCTTTGGAGCACAGACCACAGTAGACATTGAAGGAATAGTATTGTCATAGTTCTCTGGAGAAATAAAATCCTACAGAGCAGGCCAGCCATGGTAGAAATCAGCTCCTTGGTGCCTGGGATAACTTCAGGGTCCTTACGTCCTTCTTCCCATCTTGCACGGTGTCCTTCCACCCACTGAACCTGTCACGCGCTAACATGGCCAGTGGGCACAAACTATAGTTGGCAGCAAAAAGACCTGTTCCTTGCACGATTGGGGTTTTTGAGAAACAAGGCAAAAACCCAACCCCAACTCCAGGCATGGGAAACCACACATCTGAAAATCGGTTTTTGGAACCACAACGCTGGCAGACACCTGTATATACATCTGCCTGAACTGGAGCACCGCATGCCACACTACGTCCGCCCTCGGAGAAGTGAAAGAGGAAAGGAGAACTTACACTACTATCATCCATTCTCTCGCGCCTTTTAGATTTGTGTGTCTCATAGTCTTCCATGAGGGTCTGCATCAGATTCTTGGGCCGCTGGGATCCGGCAGCCTCTTCAGGGGCTAAGTCAGGCTGCGAGCTGGGGCCTTCAGGTGTGGGGGATGGAGGAGGTCTGACTTTCTCTATTTTCCCTGAAACAATACGAAGAGAACACCCTTTCTAAGCTTGTCTGCTCATGACTTCTTTCCAAAAGAGCAGAAAACTGGCAAACAAGCAGCCTCGGACACAGAGCGTGGTACCAGAACAATGGTTACGTGCAGCACATCTTGTTACAGGGACCAAGTACTTAAGGATAATGTCGCAAACCATCCAACAAGGACCTCAAGGAACCCCGTGCTAAAAAGTCACACCTAAGAGGCCTGTTGGGCACTTTGCAAATATACGTCAGACAGACAGACACAGGCTCCAGTTGCTTTGGGGACGCATCTCCTAGGACAGATATTAGGATTAGACTGAAGTGATAGCATCTTTGAACCTTCGAGACTCACTCCTCAGAGATAAAGAAAACTGAGGTTGTGCAAGGGGAGGACTCTGCTGGGGTCACTGGGAGCCAGCGATGGGACCCAGGTCTCCTGGTTTCCTCATCAAGTTCTTTCTTCTCTGTCAAAGGCCACCAGCTCTCATCTGACCTGCCCAAGCTTTAGGCATGGACAGCGCTGCGTTGTAAAATCTTTGAAGGGAAACTAGGTTGCCCCAGTCTTACACAGGCCAGCTTCATTCATTCACCTTACCTGCCTTGGTCCTAAAGCATTTGGATTTGAGACTCCCTTCCTCTCCCCTCAAACCCTAAGGGATGAATGCCAACAAAGGTGCTTTGGGTGCTGTAGAAAAGGTGTGCACCAGACTCGGGAGAGGTGAGATCTGAACTTTGGAGATGCCTCCCAGGAATTCTCAGATGAGGAGAGCAGGGCAACGGAGGCGGGGTGTGGGACCCTAGGCACTCTCCCCGAGACCCTCTGCCTTCCTCCCTGACTTCTGGCCCATCAAGGGCTGGGTTCTATTGCCACAGAGCCCCAAAGGCACCCCGAGATGCATCTTCTGGCGGAAGAGTCGGGATTGTTCCAACTATGGCCTCTGTGGGAGACAAAGGGTCCATGATCAAGAAATGTGAAAACACACACAAAATAGACAGGACCATTCGAGTCCAAAGTTTGGAAACTGACAAGATTAGACTGAAGATCCCTTTGACCCCTTCCAGTCCCCAGCTGAAGGCGACTCCTCTTCGTCTTCTTCCTCAGACTTTTAACTTGGCAACTGCCTTACGTAGGTGGACTTACAAGTGAAGCCTGGGGTCCATGTCCCCGTGTGGGCACAGTTGCCTTTGATGGGAATCGGAAAATCCCGTCAAATTCAGTTCAGGAAACCCGGGCTTTAATTTCTGCTTTCCCATGAACTAGCCGTGCAGTTAGCTATAGACAACAGCCAATATATAGACAATATTAAATGTAATATTCCCACTCTAATCTTGGGCTGATCACTTAAGTTCTCCTAGCTATAAAATGAAAATTTGGGAAGTTGTCTTTGAGGTCCCTTCTAACTCACACATTTTGCTATTGAAACAAATATATTTGGCAGGAAGATCAACCCTTATTGACTTAAAGAAAAACGCATGGCCATCACATTTGGCAATTGGGTGGAAAGTTGTTTTTAATACACAGAACGGGCACTCCTTCTGCAAGAGCTACCGTCACATTAGTAACTTGGGAAAACTCACTGCGCCTTGACCTAAATTACCCAGATCACTTAGAGAGTCATCTGGATATAAACTCCATCAAGGCGGGACCTTGTCTGCCCTGGTTGTTGCTGGATCCCAGCACCCACTGTGGTATTTGACACAAAGTAGGAGCTCAAGTTTGTGGAGCGAACCAGTGAGTGCATAATGAAATATACATAGCAGCCTCTTAGAGAATGCTTGTGGATGGGGTACAGAATTCCCACAGAGAATCTGAAGAAAAAGGGAGTTTAAATGTCCTTACCAAAGCATTTGAAATGAAACAACCTCAGTCTGCAGAATCACAGGTTCAATGGCTTTGTGGTAATAACAAGCATATTTAAATGGCATTTCATTCATGGACTTCATGTCATTTGATCCTCCCAATACCCCTGGGATGTAGTTGGAGGGGTGTCATGCCGTCTGTGAATGGTTTAGACCATGGAGGCTCAGATGCTAATAATGCCAGCCCAAGCTACATTAGCTAGTGACAGAGTCAGGTCTGGCCTGGAAGCCAAATCGCGTTGATTATGGCTAAATGGTATGGATGGGACGCAGGCTGAAAGAGAACTGTAAAGAGGGCAAAGAGTTAATATAGAGAAGAGGTCAACCATTAAACATGAGACATTTCCTGCTTCTTCATACTCTAGCAAAACCACCCATCCCTGGAACAATTTACCCTTTATGGACACTAGAGGGCACAGGAGTAACAGGAAAGAAACACTGGTTTAGCAGGTCCACAGCAGCTGCTTGCAAAGAGAAAGTAGCGGAGGGGTCTGCAAGAGAACAGGAGACACCAAAAGCCAGGCCCACATCAGAGCATCAGGCAAAGCTGTCATAGGTCCCCAAAGAAAGGAGACAGGGTGCCCCACCCCCTTGGTGTCGGGGATGTCAGCTTGGCCAGGCTTCCCTTCTGGACCGTGATGTGCAACAACCAGACTCCCCACAAACCCCCCCCCCCGGCACCCCCAGTCTGGTTTGAACCATAATACACTGGACCATTTCAGGAGTCGCACAGATGGCTAAAAAGGGAGACCTGTTCCAAATCCACCTTCTTCCTCAGGAGTCTATAGCCAACCGTCCTCACAATTAGGGTGGTGAAAAAAACTTCTAATGTTCTTCCTTCTGTGGCAGACACTGGACACCACCATTGTTTGGGCCTCGAGGATAACTGCATGAATGTGACGCAAGTGATCTGACCCACAGGCCTGGAAAGTCTATCTCATCCTTGCCTGTGGCCTCAGGGCCCCTTGAAATTTCTTGGCCCCGAGGACACACCCTGTTAGGATCCTCCAACGGTGATGGTCACCTCTGGTCCTCATTGTCACGCATCTCACCCAGCATGTACCAGCACTCCCAGGCTCCTCCCCCACTCGCTTCAGCAAAACCTGCTCCTTTTGCTTATTCACCTGGTGAGTGACTGAGAGCTGAGGACAGCGAAAGGGGGCCCTATTTTCAATGACAAACACCCTGCCATCTAGTTTCTCACCTGGGCTGGACACTATAAAACAGCTCTCGTGCGGAAGGACCCCACGTGCTGTCGCTGGGAAACGACACGAGCAGGAGACCTCCACAGAGCTCAGGGCAGACCTGGTGGTCTTAGCCAAAGGCTGGCGCCTGAATTCACAGAGCAGGACGCACGTACGACGTGACACGTACGACGTCCTGTCTGTGACAGGACGAACCAACAGGACAAAGCTAGACTGGCATTCCGAGGGGAGACAAGGAACAGTTTCGAATTAACTTTACATACATGAATTTGACCAAACTATTCCATCAAGGGTAACTTTAGACTTCAACATTGAAAGGTGTTTGAGGGTACGCAGCTTCACTTGGCTGTGACGATTCCAAAGCTGTATTTCCAAAACTATGTCCAATCCCTAAGTTTTGTAAGCTAATACTCTATGCTGCAAAGAGAAAGTCGTTGGTCACATTAGCCTGGGAAACACTGGGTTAAAAAAAAAAAACTTAAAAAAAATAAGGGGGGGAGGGGGGGAGAGATTGATTTCTTTACCAGAGGGCTTCTCCAAGGTTTTAGTGCTCATAAGCTTGTAAAATTCTAATTCAAGGATGGGTGTGCAGCATTTCTCAAATGTATTTAACCAGAGACCCTTACTTCATAGAATTCCCTATTAGAAATTTCCATAGAATTTCCTTATCTTAAGGAAAAGGCTGTGAAATACCATTCTCTAATGTATACGAGAGTTAACCAGCTCCCAAGAAACTTCACAAGTTCAGCAAATAAGTATGGGCACAAAACTTTCTCCATTGTTATTTTTCAATAATTACACCTTTGGAAACAACCAAGATATCTGACTACAGGAAAATGGTGAAAGTTGTTATGGCTCATTTAGATGATGGAGTATTTACTTAGCCATTACAAATCATGTTTTAGTCAGATTTAGAAAAATAGTTAGGGTCGTGGGAAAACATCGAAAATATATTAAAAGAAAAGAACAGGTTACAAAATCAGATATATTGCAGTTGTTTTAAGAGTGCAGGCTCCAGACGTAGACTTCCTGGGTTCAAATCCTCGCCCGCCCCTTAATAGCTGTGTGAAAGAAAGCAAAAGTGCATGCACAGCACACGGGGAACACTCCCTCAGCTGAGGTGAACAAGAGCGAGTCTTGTGGCAGGCAGGATAATGGCCTCTGCAAAGATGCCTAAATCCTAATTCCCCAAATCTGTGAATACGCAGCCTTATGTGGCAAAAGGACTTTGCAGATGTGATTAACTTCAAGGCTTTGAGATGGGAAGACTATCCTGGAACTTCTAGTTAGGCTTGATGTAATCACAAGGATTCTTAAAAGAGGAAAGCTGAGTGAGAGATCTGAAGATGTTATGCTGCTAGGTTTGGTGAAGGAAGGGGCCTGCAGCCAGGGAATACAGGTGGCCTCTGAAACCGGAAAAAGGAAGGAAGTGAACTCCCCCCAAAGCCTCCAGAAGGAACACAACCCAGCTTAACACCTTGATTTTAGCCCAGAAAAAACACCATCTCAGTCTGCTCGAGCTGCCCTAACAAAATACTATGAACTGAGTGGCTCAAGCAACATACATCTTTTTTTCTCACTGTTCTGGGGGCTGGAAGTCTGAGATCAGGATGCCAGCGTGGTTCTGGTCAGAACCGTCCTGTCCTGCCGATGGCTGCCTTTTAGCTACGTCCTCACATGCAGGGAGAGTCACTGAGCTCTTTGGTGACTTTTCTTATGAGGACCCTACCTTCTCATCTAACTCTCATTACCTCCTAAAAGGCTCCATCTCCAAATACCACGCACATTGGTAGTTATGGCTTCAACATATGAATTTGGGGGTTGGCAGACAAAGTTCAGTCCATAACTGACACATTATAGACTTCAAACCTCTAGAACTATAAGATAACAGGTGTGTGCTGTTTTAAACCACTGTATTTGTATGATTTGT